CATAATTTTATATAATATTTAAATTATATAATTATGATCATTTCAAGATGTGCATCAATTACCCGAAAACAACTGTCTGAAAAAATTTCGACACATTACCCTCGTATTCCTACCGTGGGGTCCGATAATACTATTATTTTCCAAAAAGCTTAATTAAAACTACTTGCGCAAGTCTTTGACCAGTCAACAATAAGTCATGGTAAATAATCGACGTCCCACCCAACAAAAACGGCCAAAACCCTCATTAATAACGCACGATTTTTCCAATTCTGTACCAAACTTTTTAATTTGTCAAACATCTTTAATACACATAAAGTAACAACTTGATTATCTGATATCATTTTTTGGGGCTAAGTCCTCTGAATTTTAGTTAAGTTCTTCCCCTGATTCCTTCTGTTCATTTGACCAGATAAAGTACCTTATACCTGGATGTTTTTATAGTATTAATTTCTACTTGAAAATTTGTGGATTTCAACACTAATTTTGAAAGATTATAGTGTAATCATCACTTTCTTCCGAATAAGTTTCTGCATACAGAAACGGGTCATGATTTCCATTCTAACTAGGAACTTTGTTTTGCATTGTGGAGACTTGGTCAAGACTCAATTATATATATTGGTTTTTTTTAATATTAGTTACACAATGAAAAGTAATTTTCTTTTATCTTTTATCTCACTACACATGTATGTCATGTCATTCGAATTTATAATCTCTTATTTTCAGCGAAAGGAGATTACTATTGAATTATTTAGGTCGTTGACATATTGTTGTCTTTTTTAATGATGTTCAACTATATATTGTTAATTTGTATTATTTAGAGAGGCATTGGTATTAATATAGGACGTTGCTTTTGCAAATTGCAAGGATGGTTATCCCCCTCCTCTTTTTTTAATATGGTCAACGAAAAAACTTGTTCTTTTCGAGAGGATCGATGATTAAACAAACAAATTAATACATGGCAAGCATTATTGGAACAATTTGTTGTCTTTGGTAAGTAGTAATTAATTTAAGGAATTTTTATCTCCTTTTTTAATCTTGGAAAACAATGAACTATACCGTCCAATTAAATTATTATCTCTTATTGTATAAGCTTACTTAAGAGATGAATAAAAAAAATACAAATTATCATATTTATAATTTAAAATATTTAACCTATTTAATTAGGATCAATTAATTGTTTATAAAATATTAAAACAAAACACTCTTTATGTCCAATAATTTAATTTGACCCAAACAATTTCTTTGTCTGACTTTGTTCATTCTATTTTTATTAAACCAAGCACACTTTTAGCAATCCTCTTTCTCTTAAGCCAAGCATGCTGCAGAATAAAAGAAAAAAAAAAAGGGTATTTACCATTTTGGAAAAACCCAAAGAACCTGTCCCGAACCGGAGGCTATCTCATTCTCATGATCCTGATTCCAGGGTTGATTCCATTCCATATCTGTAGCTTTCATTCTTTGCGGTTTTTCTAGAGGGATGCCGCTGGAAAATGGGTACATAGGAGGCAGTATCTATGGCGACCACGTGGAAAGGTCCAATACTATGTATTTGCTTGGCGTGTCTCTTTCCTCACCCTTCCTGCTTCACCTCATCTCTACCTGCTCTTTTTCTCTCCTCTCTTCCAAAGACGAGCCCTTTTCGTTCCGTTCCCTTGGGTTTCGTCCATGGCAATGCTAAACGTTTCTCCAGCTTCTTCTTTCAGGACCATCTCTCCTATTCTTCCATACCCATTCCCCAGTTGCTCAGCCTCACCCACATTTTCTAGAAACCCCACCAAGACCTTGCCTTCTGCGTTGTTTCAAGCGAGGAGGAAAAGGGTTTTCCTCTCTCAATCTTTTGCAGTGGGAAAGGATCATACTGAATTTCATGGTGGAGCTGAAGAGATGGAAGAATCTGGAGAGTCTACAGAGACTCTACTCTACTCCTTCAATCCTCTGCCTTTGCTAGTTGTGGCTGCTCTTCCTGGAGGTAATTGTATACCCGTAGAATACTGCGTTAACATTATGAATGTTAATTTTGTTGTTTACTTCGTCAGATTTTGATGGAACTTAAATTTGCTTCGTGTCAGATTTTTTTTACTAAAGTATACACTAAATTATGGGAACCATTGATGAATACTTGGCAGCTGAAGTGCTTAAGACCCACAAATAAAACAACTTAGAATGTATCTAATGTTGTAATTGAAAATCAATTTTGATATATGTTCATCAATTTTGAGATGGGTAAATTTAGGTAATTTTAGTGTCTTAGTGGGATTGTTGTTAGGGACTCGGTGTTGGATCATATATTGTCTGATCCTACACTGCTTTATTATGCATTAAGCCAAGTCTCGTAGTACACCTATTTCTAGTTTTCCTTTTCACCTCAGTCTCATTACAAGTTTAAATGTTTGATAACAGCTGGGACTGTGGGGTCTCTCTTTGGACCTTTTGTTGAGTTAGTGAAGTCATGGAGTCTCCCTGATTGGCTTGTGCATTGGGGTCATCCTGGCAACATGGTATAGGTTCTGCTTTCCTCTTACCTTTCTTGTGTGAATGTTTGTCTTTCACCCTTATCGCTGGTATCTCCAGCAGGCTTCTCAATAAGAGCACCATTATGTTATTTATATAATTCTTATTTCATGTGTTTTCAGGCTGTTGTGCTCTTTGCCATGGGTGGTTATGGTACATATTTGGGTTTTCGTATCCGCTATTCAGATGATGTTGTAAGATACCTATCAAAAAATAAATGCATTAATCTTTCCTGTGTCAAACCATGATACCCTTTTCAACTCATCCTTTATGTGCATTTACCATACCAGGAGGAGAAAGCAAAGGCCAAGGACTTGCATCCCAAGCTTCTTGGTGGGATGTTTTTCTTCTTTGCTCTTGGTGCAACGGGTGGAATTACATCTCTCCTTACTTCAGACAAACCTATTTTTGAGAGGTACACTATAGTTTGTCTCATAATTCTCTTCTCCTACAACCAGATACATTTACTTAACTCCATTTCTTCCTCTACAGTCCACATGCAGTTACTGGTTTCATTGGCCTTGCTCTCTTGACCATACAAACAGTCTTA